CTCATTTACCCATTAGCTTTATATTCAAAAGCCAACAACAATGTGATCGACCTGAATTTTAAAAGTATCTTATCTAAAAAAAAACGTTTTCCTGCTGAAGACTGGTCAATCATTACACATTATGGCGCCTAAATTCAAATGGACCAATCAGTGCAGTGCATCAGGCAACACACACACACACTGTTGCCAACATATACTTTGTTGCTATACTTAGCCAGATGTCCGACCCCTCTAGTGACCAATTTTCAAAAAAGTGACTAGCGAAAATTCTCAGGGATCCTTTAAAGATAACCTGGAGAGTAGAAGAAGAATGTGTTTATTCCTGTTTATTACTGTGTGTTTCTATATGCTGCCTGCATGTGTGTGTTTGAATGACACACACAACACACCAGTCATCAGTTGTCATGGAGACGGCCCCAGCTGAGGCCTCTGAGATGCACCTGTGCCCAAAGCTGGTTCAACAGGCAACCAGCTTTGAGCTTGAAAGACAGAAACCATAAGCACAAGACAGCACCGAGGAAGCAGAAGAAGCCAAAGAAAAGCTTAAAAATTCATAGTCTAAAATGTTAAAGGCTGAAGTTAGGAATAATTTTGAAGAGCCGATAACTAATGAGTGGAAGAAATCAGTTAAAAGGATTAGAAGAAGAGTATTGAGTAAAAAGCCATAAAATTACCAAGAAAGTACAAGAAGTTAGATGAAGTTTCAAATCAGGCTAAACAGGACAGTATGAAGAAGGTCAAAGGTCAGGAACTTCTGTATTTGAGGAGACAGCTCAAGAGCATTTGAAGACGAAAGTGTTCTATTGACAAATTTCAAAGGTCAAACAAATCAGATGAACAATTTTTAAAAGAGTGAAAAAGACCAAAAGAGACAGAAAACAGTTTGGAAATGATCACAATGAAGTTTAACCTGAGTCCAAGAGAAGAGTTGCTGAGAGGTTAAAGTGGAGGTCACAGAGCAGAGCAATCGTTAGTCGTCATAGAAACGGCCCACCTGCGTCAGATACACACGCAGGCTCTCTGCCAAAGACTTGCTCAACAGCCAAAAGTTCCCCTCACATTCTGACCTCCTGAGCAAAAACTATAAGAGCCACGCCAATTCTGAGGCATGGTGAGCGCCTGGAGAGATTCAGGATCGCAACGGTGTTTTTCTTTTTTAAATTGAGCCAGAAATGGCCCAACGGGAGCGATTTCAAAATAGGAGACCTTTCAGAGCTGAACAAGTTTTCAGTGGGATTTTTGAATGGATTTTCAACGTAATCTTGGTGGTAGAGCTCTGACTCTGAGGCTCATAGCTCAAAATCTAAAAGGTTAAAGGCTTTGAAAGTTACATTGGCTGAAAGAGGACAAATCTTCCTACGTTTTAAGGTATAATTTGTGTATGAAGGTTGAAGCATGTGGAAGTAATCTGAAGTAGTTTGAAGAAGTTGAAGTGGCTGAAAAGCTAGAGTGTGTCACATGACCCCTTTGTTGATCTCCCACTCTAACTTGGCCCCATTGGAATGCATAGTAAAAGTGAGGAGAAGCTGAAATTTCAATGATTTTAAAACTGCCATATTTCAAAAGCGGCTGAATATTTTGAAGAGAAAAGTAATAGATGGATAGCTGAATGCCCTGAGAGCCATTTAAAAGTTGAATGTTTTTTCTAGCTGAAAGTAGGCTGAAGTACTTAGGGCTGAAGTAGGTCAAAGTTTGAGACGGATTTGAAGATTTCTCCATTAATTTCAATGAGAGAAAACAAAAACAGAAAAAGTTAAATAACTTAAAACCAAAAAACACCAGTAGTCCATGTTTCAGAGGTGTATGTGATTGTCACCCCTCCTATAAGTGTAGCGCCATTTCAATGGTTTTGGGTAAGGTGGCCTGTCTTTTTTTATACCAGGCTAGAGCTTTAATTTAGCTAACCTCACATATGTGATTTGAATCCTGGTACTATAAACCTGTTTGGCAAATTGGCAAAAGAGAAACTTTTTCTTTAAATACATCAGTTACATTTGCAATAACATGAGCTGAGATTATTTGATTATCTTAGATGTATAATCCAAATTTATCTTATTCATATTTTACAGTTGTGAATAATCCTCCTCTCTACAGAACGATGGACTCCAGATAGTTTAAATGGCCTTAAACCCTTCAAACTGATGGGTAGCAAGAGCTGCTGATGTCTTTCTTCCCTAACATTGTGTTAGCTCATGCCTGAGTGCAGCAAACGTATGCTTTTACACACCCTGAGGATCAATAATCAGTTCCTGTGTGATCGCTTAGGAGCCTAATTGTTCTGTTTTCACCCCATTTTGAGATCTTATTGTCTGTTTGCACCTGAATCATGAATCCTGATAGCTGACAGAGTGTAATGTTCTTTCCTGATAGGTGATGACTGGTTGGACATGTGCTTTGTGTGAAAGATTTACCTGAACAAAAGAAAAAATACCCCACAGCAGAGAGGTTCTACTGTATTCAGACCGATTTGTGCGGAATGTGACAGGGCAGGAACGACTGTCACAGTTTCTTTGTGAATCTCATCACTGTTTGTATCTTTTACCTTTAGGGGGAACAGATCAGCTCAGGGGTGGAATAGACACAAAGCATCATGTTACAAACCACATCAGGTTAGGGAACTCAGCACGTTGGAATTTCAGCTATATTTAACTGAGCACTCATTATGGCTTCAACACTAAAGATCAGGCCAGAATGTGTCTGTAAGAGTATAACAAAGCTTTGACCTTTTCCAGTCTGACCGTCTGTTGGGTTTTGTGTTTGTTTAAGATCAGAAGATGCATTCATTTATTTGAAAGTAGGCCTTTCTATCAAAATGATGCTGTTTGGTGATACAATCTGATTATTTGATTACATAGATAATCCTCTACCCTCCTAAAGATCTCCAGGCTATCACCAGATTTCGCCCTCCAGACCAAGACTCATTGTCTCTAGGCTTCTTCTGTTGTCACTCAGGAAAACCAATCTTCTTGTTTACCCCTATCATGTGTCTTTATGTCTTCATGTTGTAGCCTGCTGAAGAGTATTCAGCTAATGGCATAAAAAGATCATCTGGCCAATCCAATTCTGCGACGCAACTACAAACAGCCCTGTCCAAGGAGGGTGTACCCCTGGGAAGACATGGCTCCACTATTCACTATTCAAACTATGATTCAGCCGCAGGTTTTCATTGTTCCAATGTATTAATCAATTATCTCCCAGATAGGGCAGGCATGACTAAGTCTTGAGGAGGGGCAGTATCGCATGGATTCTTGGTATTGTCACCACCGTGGTTCCCACCAAAAATACTTCTGTCTCTGTCCAGTGCACCCAAAAGCCATAGCCCGTCCGTAAATCTTTGGGTGCTCAAAGCAAAAGTCACCTACGTACCTACCTGGACAGAACGTCTAGTTGTCCTCCAAGGATTTTCCTCTAATGGCCCATGATAGGAAATTCTCTCCCAGATTCTTAGGTCCTTATATTGTTGGTGCTGGACA